GGGTGAGTGGATGGACAGACAGATGGGAGGGTGGGTGAGTGGATGGACAGATCTACAGGAGGGTGGGTGAGTGGATGGACAGATCTACAGGAGGGCGGGTGAGTGGATGGACAGATCGCAGGAGGGTGGGGTGGGAAGGCAGGTAGGTATGTGTGTGGGTGGGTGAGTGAAGGACAGGAAAGAGTAAGAGACGGATAGATAGAGGAGCTGAGAATGGCGAATGGCTCGGACAGCAAGCCCAGGTAGGGCAGGCCCAGGTCCCAGTGTGTGCCTCAGCAATGGCGGTGGTGACGGCTCTCGTTTACACGTCCTCCTGAATATCAGTCTCCCCTGTGTACCCTTCCCTCCCTCACACACACTAGAGACAGAGAAGACAGATGCCAGGCAGCTGGGGTGTAGAGAGCCACCTGGAGAGCTCTACCTGGGTTGGTCCTACTCCGCCTGTCCCAGGTGCTCCCCCTCCTCGGGGCCCCTGGGTCCCCTGTAGCCCAGCCTCAGCACACTCACCCTGGGCAAGTTGCAAAGGCCCAGGCGGAGGGTGTGGCGTAACTTGTGGGTGTAGTCCGTCTCCACCGTCCCCTGGAAGCTGTGCTGGGCACAGGAGGCCGGGAGGATGTGCTCTAGTGTGGCCGCTGCATGGATCTTGTCCCACTGGGGTATCTGGTGCTTCTGGAATGGTGGGTCATGACATGGGGTTATCACATAAGAGAGAAAGCCCACGGCATCCACAGGGGTGACTAACCCACAAAGGCCAGGTGCCAGTGACCCCAGCCTCAGAACCCCAGGGTCTCAGAAGCCTTGGGGGGGTACAGAAGGGCCGAGGGGTACACTCTCAGAGCCAGCTGTCCTCGTTTCAATAGTCTGACTTTTGTCTCTCACTCTGAGAGCTCACTTAGCCCCACTGGAAGCCCTGGGTAGTTTCCGGGGAAGGTAAGCCATCCTGCGTCTCCCGCCCCATGTCTAGCAGACCCTTTAACACTACCAGCTCCTCCACTCTGCCCAGCACCAATCAGAGTGTTTGATGTACTTCCTGGCAGGACACGACTATCGCACCCATTTCAGATGAAGGAAGGCTCAACCAGGGGAATCAGTGGCCTAGCTCCCCTGGCATGGCCAGCACTTGAATCCAGAACCACACTGCCTTAAGCTCAGTACTTCCCATGGCTGACAGGGCCCTCTGTAGATGACCTGCACTGAGTCTGGCTCGCTGGGCCTTACCTCATAAGTCACGTTCTGCTGCAGCCGGCGTCGGCCCCAGGAGAGATCAAGCTGCTCACTGAACATGCCCGGGGTCTGAGTCAGGGCCGCGCAGGCCTGCAGCGGGCCCAGGCCCCAGGTTCCCTGGAGCTGACAAGAACAACAGAAAGATGAGCCAGAGGCCTGCTGGGAGGCCCAGAACAAGGAGGATCCAAGGCAAGAGCTCGTACCTGACCTAGGGAGGCAGCTAGGCAGCTATCCCAGGCCACGCTGTGCGGAGAGGACCTGTCAGCCCAGGTGACCTCCAGAGTCACAGGTGAGCCTCTGTCCCATGATTGCTGAACCTGCATGAGGGAGGAACAGAGGTGAGGCCATTACTGCCTCTGAGGGCGAGATGCTGGCTAGATTGTGGCTGCCTTCATCTTCCCTGGAGAGGACGTGGGGGTTCCAGGGACTCCTTGTAGGAGTCCAGAGCCCCCTATTGAGAAAGGCCCATTCCTTGATGATAGACAGCCCCTTCTGGGTCCTGCGTGTCCTGCCTGGTCATCCAGCCTCTTCCATGGGAAGCTCTGGCCTCAGCCTTTGTGCTTACTATCCAATAGCTCACATTCCTGGTGTCCTTGGCTGGTAGCCTCTTCTCCCATGAAGATCTCACCTTGGCCTTTCAAATCCAGCTCCCTGTATGCTTGCTCCAAGATGCTTATCACAATTTCTGAGTTTTAAAATCCCATTTGCCTGCTTGCATTCTGCTGGCCTAAAGTATTTCTGCTCACTGGTGATAAGAAGAGGCCCAGAGAAGCCACTCCAGTTCAAGGATGCACAGCAGGCTAGGGAGTCCAGCTGCCCTGCCCTCAGCCCTCCCTGAGGTGGCTAAGTATGCAAATTAACATACAAATGAGCTCAGAGCTTCCTGAGAACCATTTCCTTCATTAAAACCCAGAGTCTGCAGGTGCAGAGCCCGGGCCCAGGGCTGGGCACCTCATCCCTGAAAGAGCAATTGAGTGGAGGACCCCTGAGGCCCCCAGCCGGGCATCTGTGACTCTGGAGAGCGCTCTCTGCTGGGCAGGGCCTCCTCCCTCCCCATCTACGGGCCCAGGCCTGAGACCTGCGGCCTCCCTGCCTTCTGAAGGCTGCTGACCTCTGCCCCACCTGAGAGGTGGAGATGGTGGGCAGGGTTTGTGGAAGCCAGTTCCCCTTCCCTAGCCACTGGGAGCAGGGGAGCAACACCAGCCAAGCCCTTGCCATCCCATCTACAGGGAAGGAGCCAGCGGCTCAGGGAGAGCAGGCACAGCAGGTGCATGCTGGGAGAGTGGCTGGGGCCACGCTGGCCCTGTGACCCCAGAGACCCTGCGCTTCAGTGTCAGGTTCTGAAAACGGGGAGAGAACAGAATCAAGCGGGTTTGGAGGGAGGATGGATTTGTGGCACAGTGCCACATCAGCTGTGCTTGTCACAGGGACTGAAACCCAGGTGCCCTGCCCCCACTTTTGGGCACCTAGAACAGCTGGCTGACTGCCATAGGCTCCCTGAGCAAGGCGGGTCCCCCAGGGGATCCTGCCAGCCCCACTGCCTACCTGGTCTTTATTGTCCCAGGCCACAGCCAGGTCACTGTGGTGGCTGCCTCTAGAGTACTCTGAGGACAGATGGAGTCTGCAGTGTCGTGGCAGGGACAGGGACAGCTGGTGGGAGAACTCCACTGTGGGGGAGATGGGTGGAGAGGGTGGCAGTGAGGTCATGGCTGTGAGTCAAGGTCACAGCAGGAGACTGGTTCGGGACGCAGCTGATCACAAAGCCATTCAGGCAGGTGATCACACTCACCTACTCTACAGATCTTGGAAGTCAATCAAATGACTCTTAAAGCAGCCTAACTGTGCCCATGGGAGGCTCTGTTCTCTTTTCCTCCTATCCCAATGACACTGAGCAGCCAGCCCAGAGCCACCTCTGCGCCCCAGCCTTGGCGTCAGGACATGCCATTGTTTCTTGAGGCCGACAGGTCACCACATCCAAGCCTTGGCAGTCAGAGGTCTGTTGCCTCCTCCTCTCCTGACCCCTGAGCAGCCACCGTGAAGCACACCCTAGATGGCTGTTGGTGGCTTCAAACCAGGCTTCAGGCGACAGCCAGAGGGTGCCGAGATCAGTGGAGATCCCAGAGATGCACAGAACTCCCTCCCCTTAGCCTGCTGCTGACCTTGAGACATGAGCCTACCAGGGCCTCGCTGCTGCACCTCCCGACCACTTAAAGGACAATTTAAGGTCTTTTATTACCTTTATTTGTACGTGCACATGAACACACATGTGCCACAGTGCATGTGTGTGTGAGATCAGAGAACAGCTTGCAGGAGCTGGCTGTCCCTTCAGCACGTGGGTCCCAGCTCTGGTTGTCAGGACTAAGGACCGGCTGCTTCACCCACAGAGCTGTCTCGTTGGCTCCAATTTGCTTTTGTTAATTTTGATTTATTTGAGACAAGGTTTTATGTAGCTGAAAACGACCTTGAACTCCTAGCCTTCCTGCCTCTACTTCCTGGGGGTTGAGACAGCAGGCCTGTCCCCTGCCGCACACTGTTTTTTAAGGTGCTGGGGATCAAATGTCCTAGGCAAGCACTCTAACGCCTAGGCTGCCGCCCTACCCTCTTTGTGATTTTGCTGACACGGGAGTTCCTAGCTCTCTGCCTCTCTCCTCTGAGGGCTGAGCCTTGGCCATCTTGTGTCCTGAGGATTCCCTGGGGCCTGGAACAGCACCCAGGACAAGCAGGCACTCACCCATGGCAAGTGGGAGCACCCCCACGCCCATGCCTCGGGCTCCTCAGCTACTCACCCTGAAGACGGATATTCCCTAAGAACTCTGAGAGGGGCCGGGAGAGGCTCCCATTGAGGGCCACCTCCCTGCCATCCCATAGCACCACCTGGTACAGGATGTGGGTGCCTTGTACTCTCTGGATCACGGTCCTCAGGGACAGCTCTGTGGGAAGGGTGCTGAGCTGGAAGAGAATGGGATGTCAGTGCATGGCCTCTCTGAGCTGAGCCACTCACTGGCCTGGGGTTGGGAAGGGCACACACCCCAAAAGGAGAAGAAGCCGCTTGTGGTCAGAACCACAATGCTAAATCCGTCCTAAGTGCGAGCAGACAGCACAGAGTGTGAGGGAGGAGCGAGACAGTTTTTCCAGAGCCTGGAAGGAAGCTAGCAGACTCCAGCCTGTGTGGGCTGAGGCCTGGCACCTGCAGACCACACATCCTTCTGCCGTCCCGTCTAGCCTGTCTGTCCCAGCCCGGGCTTCTAGCCAGTTCTCAGACTCGTCCCCACCCCAGGCCCTTAGCATAGAACGCTCTTCCCCCAGGCAGGCTTGTCATAGGATTAGCTCAAGTGTCACCTCCTCTGGTGACACTTCTTGACCCCCTAATCAAATATATGGCTTATTTATATGACTTTTGTCACTTGCCTCAACTAGATCATATATTCAATGACAGTCGGGGGCCACAGTTCTGTCCTGTGCTATATCCCAGCTTCCTTCTGGAGCAAAGCCTAGGGTTAGATGGTCGGAGAGGAGCGGAGAGGAGACACACTAGTCCCTTCCTGCTAGTTTGCCCCTTCAGAGCCTGCACCGTGCTGGTCCCCACAGAAGAGAAGCCTCAAGCTCAACTCCTCTTTTCCAGGAAGCTACACACCTGGGCGAAGGTCTGCTGCAGCTGGATGACATTGTCTAGGCTGTCCTGAGCAGCCAGCAGGGTGGTGTTGACATGGAAACAGCGCTCCTCCACCTCTAGGACAAAAGTGCCTTTGGTCTCCTCCTCAGAGTACCAGAGCTGGTGAAGGGAAAAGCATAGGGAGACACCATCAGATCCCAGCCAGATGACGCTTGGCTCCAGGCTCTGCTCCCAGAGCCCCAGAAAGGGACCTATGGCTTCCTGAGATGAACAAACTCTGATGAAATAAGGGTCTTGAGTCTAGGCAGGCCCCGAGGCATGATGCTAGCAGCACTCCTCATGATCTTGGCCTGTAACAGTGATACAGATACTGACTGGGTCAAGACTGGCCGCCAGGGATCTAGTTGTGGTACCGCTTGTGACCACAGAGGGCAGTGTTACACAAGGGCAATGCTCAGAATGGTAGACCAGACTCCAGGGTGGCTCTCCTAGGTGTGGGTTGAATTAGTGACAGACCCTTGGCTTCCTGAGCCTTGGTCTTTTAATCTGATAGCTAAGGATAAGGATGCTTGCTTTTTTAATGGACTGGTAGGAAAACTGTATGAAATGATATGCCATCTTCTGAGCTGTCACCTAGTGTAACCTGTCTCTCACGGAAGAGCCATCAAGGCTTGGGAAAAGGGACAAGAATTGGTACTCATACTTTGGGGTCAACATTTTCCTCATTCCCCTCCAAGTCTAGCTGTTATTACCAGGTTAAGAGCACTGGGTATTGAGTCCTTCCAGAGACCCAGGCTTAAGTCCCAAGCACCCGCTTAGCGGGTCACATCTGTCAGTAACTCCAGTCCCTGAGAACCAATGACCTCTTCCGGCCTCTGAAGGCACCAAACACTCATATGATACCAAGATATACATCATACATTGCAGGCAAAACACCCACAACACACAAAATAATAAGATAAAATAAGAGCCAAATTTTCCAAATGTTGCTTTCAGTAAGCCCAGAGGCCATGACAGCATATTCAAGCGAATTCTCACCCGGTACAAACAATCCAGAGATACAAACAAGGACGTTCTGAAAACTGACTGCCTGGATATGTCAGACTAGCAAACATGAGGATTTTCAAAGAAATTTAGTGATAAAAGATGAAAGGAAAAATCTAGGCAGTGGGCATAGAGGAGGTTGATGAAAATTTATCTCAGTTTCGTAGTTGCAAAGTTTCAAAGAAAAATATTGGGGAGCTGGAGAAATGGATCAGCAGCTAAGAATGCATAATGCTCTTCCAGAGCAGAGGACCCAAGGTTGGTTCCCAAACCCTGTCAAGTAGCTTCTAGCCTCCAGAGGATCTGATGGCCACTTTTGGCCTCTGCAGGCACCCACATCCACATGCACATGGCAATACATACAGACATTTTATATATATATATATATATATATATATATATATGTATATATATATTTAAAACAACAATTAAAAATGTCAGGTTACAAAGGGAAGAAGTAGAAGAAGATTCTAGATCTCGAGTTGACCTTCAGATTAATTTGGCCTGCAATCTGACTTGGTAAAGAAAACTTTACCGGGGGTGGTGGTGTATGTGCACATGTGTATGCGTGTGTGTGGAGGCCAAAGGCTGATGTGAAATGTTTTCCTCAGTCATTCTCCACCTTAAACCTGGAACTTGTTGACTGACTCAACATTCTGGCCGTTGAGTTCCAGGGAGTCTCTGTCTCCCCCCACATACCCTTGTATTATAGGTGTGTGATACTATGCCTGTCTGTCTATCTATCTATCTATCTATCTATCTATCTATCTATCTATCTATCTATCTATCTACCTATTTATCCATCTATCAATCCATCTATCTATCATCTATCTATCTATCTATCTATCTATCTATCTATCTATCTATCCATCCATCCATCCATCCATGTATCCATCCATCCATCTATCTATCTATCTATTTGAGACAGGGTCTCACTATGTAGCCCTGGCCAGTCTGGAACTCATTATGTAGACTAGTCTGGCCTTGAACTCACAGAGATCCTCCTGCCCCTGCCTCCTGAGCGCTGGGATTAAAGGAATTAAATTTTTTTTTTAATGCTGAATGCTGTTTATTGAAGGAGGGAGGAGGTCTTAAATACAGGCTTACAGCACAATGGGAGAACCCCAGAGGGCAGAAGTTCATTTTACAACCTTGCATCTAAGCTGTTAACACCTGTTATGCAGGATACACAGACAAGGAACTTCCCTTAAGCATTCAGGAGGGTGGAACCTGGCAGGGAATTAGCATAGGGAGGATATCAAGGTCAAGGTCAGGAAGCAAGGCAACAGTTATCCAAAACAGGGGCCAGGGCCCTACAGGTCCTCCTTTTACTAAAAAATGAGCTTCTGACTTAGGTTGCATGGAGGCACCTGCCCAGGCCACACAGGCGGTCTGTCTTAGGTTGGTGAGCGCCCCTCAATGCCTGGCTTTTTGTATGTGTGCTGGGAATCCAAACTCAGGCCCTCTGCACACCCCTCATTTGATTGTTATCAGTCTTGTTTGAGTATTTACACATTGACCATAGTAGCTATTATCCTGCGGTGACAGGACTGAGTGGCTGCACGAGGGACAGGTGGCCTGTGGCTTGCACTTCACACCCCTGCATTCACTTTCTGGCTTTTTAAAGCCAAGTTTTCAGACTTCTGCTTGCGGATAACAAAATAAAAGTGGCATAGTGCAAAGCATCCCATGCAGCTCTGGTTCCTGTCATTGGTTTAAACCCAGGACTGAATATTTGAAAAGACCTTACAAAACAGTTGGGGAATTTTATTATCTAAGTGTTATTTCAGCATTCAAGTTTGTACCAGGCCTGGAGACATGAGCCTGTAATTCCAGCACTTGGGGAATCTGAGACAGGGAAAATAGGATGATGGTGAGTTCAAGGTCAGTATGGGCTACATAGTGAGTGTTATAGCGTGAATAAAAATGGCCCCAATAGACTCATAGGTAGTGGCACTATGAGACTATGTGGCCTTACTGTAGTATGCGTGGCCTTGTTGGAGGAAGAGTGTCACTGTGGGGGTGGACTTTCAGGTTTCAGATGCTCAAACCAGGCCTAATGTCTCATTCTCATTCTGTTGCCTGTGGACCCAGCCAGTTCCAGGACAGCCAAGCTTTGACAGTGAAGGAAACCATCAAGAACAGAAAGCTAGTGAAAATGTGTTTGAACAAGGGGGCCATGTTCCAGCCCCAGCAAGAAGCAGAACTTGGCAGCTTCGACCATGTGGTTCCGGCTTTAGAGTCAAGGATATAAGGACGGGGTTATGGAATCTCCCTCCATGGCTAAGGAAAGCTGCTGAGGTCAGGCATGTGTCAGGGGTGTCCCTGAAGAGAGACCTAGAGAGGCCATTGTGTGAAGCTGTGAAAGTGAAGCCCGGACTGTGTTGGAGACCCCAAGGTGTTGGAGATGCCAGAGTCACGGGATTCTTGCCAAGGGAAGATGCTAACAGGTGCAAGAGAAAGAAGTGTGCTCCAGTGGACAAAGCTGAAAGGAGTTGGAGATCTGCAGAGCATGTTGACATCAGACATGGAGATGTAGAGTTTGGAGTTTGCCCAGCTGGTTTTCAGTCTGCTTTGGTCCAGTATTTCCTCACTATTCTCCCTTCCCTATGTTTTAGAATGGTAATGTATATCCAGTACCATTATGTGTTAGAAGTATGTGATCTAATTTTCATTTTGATTTTACAGGCATTACGGTTAAGAGATTGCGTGAATCTCAGAAGAGTCTCTGAACTTTGAACTTCTAACATTATTGAGACTGTGGTAGACTATGGGGACTTTTGAAATTAGACTGAATGTTGTTTTGCATTATAATATGGCTACCAGCCTTGTTGGAGGAGCCATAGAGTGGAATGTGGTGTCTGAATGAAAATGGCCCCCATAGGCTCATTGGGACTGACACTATTAAGAGGTGTGGCCTTGTTGGAAGAAGTGTCCGGGCTTTGAGGTTTCAGATGCTCAAGCCAGTCCCAGTGTCTCTCTCTCTTCCTGCTGCCTGCAGATCTAGATGCAGAACCCTCAGCTCCCTCTCCAGCATCATGTCTGCCTGCACGCCGCCATGCTTCCCGCCATACCGATAATGGACTAAACCTCTAAAATGTAAGTCAGTCCCTAATTAAATGTTTTCCTTTATAAGAGTTGCTGTGGTCATGGTGTCTCTTCACATCAACAGGACAGAGAGTGACACCTGGGTTCCATGCCCAGCCCTGCATAACCTAGGTGTGGTGGTTTACACCTTTATTCCATCTGAACACCTCAAATTCAAAAAATCACTCAGCTAAAAGGAAAGTCTAGCCTGGGCTACATAAGACCAGGTCTCTAAGGAACTAAACATACCAATTTTTGTAATTATACTGTGTTATATGTAAATCCTTGTTCTACAAAACACAAGGTCTTTAGGAGTAAAGACAGAGCCTTGTTAACTCAATTACACTGAAATGTGTGGTCTGCCCTGTCTAGTGGTGATTTGTTGTTGATTGAGACAGGTCTCATGTAGCTCAGGCTGGCCTACAATGAACTATGTTGCTGAGGCTGACCTTGAACTTCTGATCCTCTTTCTTCTACCTCCCTAGTGTGGGGGTTACAGGTATGTACCACCATGCTTGGCTTGTGGGGGCCTGGGGCTGGAACCGAGGGCTTTGTGCATTAATTAGCATCCATCCACTGAGCCACATGTGGGCGTCTAACAGTTACCTTCCTGTGTCTGAAGCTAGTCTAAGTAAAGCTTGAGAAAGAAACCAAGATGTCCTCTGACTGCAGTGCTGAGGAAACACTCACTGAGGGAAGGCTACATACAGACCGTGCTCTGTAAACAGAGGCAGGCTGGGACCTGATCAGGGGGCTCTGGACGAAGCCTGTGGCTGGTAGGAAAATGCAGAGGCCTGGGATTGGGGTGGGAGGGGTGTGCAGCTCAGTGGTAGAGAGCTTGGCTAGTGTGCAGGAGGCCCTGGGCCAGGCCCAGCCCAGGAAGTTACAGGCAGGACAAAGGGGAAGGCAGCAGGAGCCTGAGGGGGAGGGAGGGGAGGTACTGCTAGCTGCCAGGCCCAGCCACTCACTCTTTACCAAGCAGTTGCTCTATGTTGGTCCCTGTGCCAAGGGCGGGCATCCCCTGTAGAAGCTCCTTATTTGGGTACTAGAGACAGACAAGGACACAGTGACAGTGCAGAGGCCTTCAGCCACGGTCTCACAAGCCATCCTATCCCCCAGCCCCTGTAATGCAGTCAGGGTGTGGAGCTGGCTCTGTTCAAGGGGCTGTGGAATCTGCTGGAGCTGCTGGGGGCACTCCAGGCTGGGGGGGAGGCGGGGGACAGTGTCAGGCATCAGGCGCCAGGGCGGGCAGACCTCCCAGCTCTCGAGGGTCCCCTGGGCCCCTCTGGAATGTAAACGTAAAGATGTTTGGGAAAGTCAGAGCCTGAGTTTTGGGGGTGGCCCACTGGGGCCCAATGCAGGCCTCTGACAGACAAAGATGTACAGACACACCCCAGCAGCCCATGCCGCACAGGACTGCCCTGGGCAGTGTCTGGAGCTACTTAGGAGCTGGGGTGCTGGGGCAGTTACCTTGGCTGTGACGGAAGCTGAGCGGGGACAGCAGCCCAGGAGGGAGGGGAGGTGGTGCCTGGTCCGCAGCAGCAGCTCTTTACTGGAAGCAAGGAAGGAGAGCATGGGCTGGCATGAGCGGATCCCGTTCAGCACTACCCGGGTGAGAGGGTCGGAAGCCCCAAATATGAGCAGTCTATTCAAGTGTGGTCAGTCACCAGGGTACGGGGTCACGGGTCCCAGGCCAGCTTCCACCCAGTTCTGCACCATTCCCTTTAATCTCGGTTTCCCTATGAAGGGCTGAAATTGACTCTGGACTGTGTCTTCCCAGAGCCCAAACTCCTGGGTTTGCATACCAAACCCGCTGGGATACGGGCAACAGGACCACTTAGGCATCCCAGCTTCCTCCCAGGGACCTTCCATCAGCTGCTTATCCGTGGGACCACGGTCTGCAGCTGGGGCTGTTCTGTGCACCCAGAGGTGTTTAGCAGCCTTCCTCTCCTGGCTTAGCAACCAGAAATCTCCCAGGCACTGCACAACCTCAGCCCGGTGAGAATCATAGGCTACACCTTTAACAAATGGGGACTGAGTTCAAGAAGGGGAGCTGGTAACCCACACCCCCTTAACAGGAAAGAGTCCCCAACCCCAAGGCAGTTCCACTAAGACCAGTGGCTGATAATAGAGAAAATGTGAGAGAGTGTGTGTGGGTGTGGGTGTGGGTGTGGGTGTGTACTTTTGCATGCTGTCCCAAAGGCCAGGATTTTTTTTTTTTTTTTCGAGACAGGGTTTCTCTGTGTAGCTTTGCACCTTTTCTGGAACTTGCTTCGGAGACCAGGCTGGCCTCGAACTCACAGAGATCCGCCTGCCTCTGCCTCCCAGGGGCCAGGAAATTTTTTAAGAGCTTGGTGACCTTGGAAAAGGTGGAAAAGCCACTCTGCCTCTCTGAGCCTCCCAGAGTGGCTTGTGATGAGTTGGGGAGCCATCATGTCTCATTGGTGTCCAGCTGTGTCCAGCTGTGTCCAGCTGCCAGCTGCCTCCAGTTCCCCTCCTCCTGGGCATCCCCCAGAACTGTCAAGAGCTCCCACCTGTTGGCATGGTTCTGGCCATGGACATGGAGGAACAGAATATCTTGGGTGTCACAAGTGATTTGCAGGAAGGAACTCACGTCTTCCAAGGTCCAGAGTTCTCGGAATAGTAACTGAGGTTAGGGGAGGGGGAGAGAACAAGACACACTGTTGGGGGTGCTGAGGACCCCAGAGGTCAGTAGAGACACCTGTGAGATTCACATTCCCAGAGCAAGACCCTCCCCAGCCTGCAAGCATGCAGGCCCTGGCTCCTGGCTCCCTTGGAGCCATGGGCAGGGCTCAGAACCAGATGAACTGGGGGAAGGGGGAGTCTGGTGTTCTTAGTTGTGGGGTCCAGACTCTACACAAGGAGGACCACCAGGCGCTGCCTCTCCCTTCTCAGCAGAATTGTGGGACAGAAGGCAGTGGCTGGAGGTGGGCTGTGGGCGCTGACACAGGCCTGTGGGAACAAGGCACAGGGGCTCACAGACACGTGGCCAGGGTGCAGCTCCATGCAGTGGGGACCTCAGAAACATGGGTGGAGTCCTCATTCCACTGTCCGCTCGCTACATGAGCTTGAGCGAGTCACCTAAACCTCCTGTGTGACCCAGGGACAGCGATGGCCCTGTCACCACCAACATTGTCACAGCCAATGGTGTCCCAGCATCCTCAGCTAACAACCTGCATCTTCACAGCTCCATGTGACAGGAGTATTACTATCTCTGCTTCACACATGAGGAGACTGGAGCACAGAGAGGGCAGGCCATCTGCTCAAGGTCACACAGCTGGGGATGACAGAGCTGGGCTCTGAGCTCGAGGTGGTGTTCACAGGATGTCCTGTTCTGCCCATCAGCAGGTGTCAAAAGGATGAAAAGCAGAGTACAGCCTGAGTACTGCTCTCAGCACTGAGTCCTGAGGCCAGAGTACTAAGCAATGCTCACAGCACTAGGCCATATCTCCTTGGCAAAGGTGAGCTGGACTTCAGCTCTGGTTCATTGCTGGACCGGCCAAAAGGACCCTGGCCAGGACCTAGAACGGTTGCAGGACCCCAGGCCTGCAGTGTAAGGAGTTTACTTCGTAGGCATTGGCTACAACTGTCTGTTTTCCTGAGACAGGGTTTCAGGAACCCGGTGTAGCCTTGGCTGTTCTAGAACTCTCTCAGTAGACCAGGCTGGCCTTGAATTTGAGATCCTTCTGCCTCTCCAGTTCGGGGAATAAAGGTGTGCCCCGCCACACCCAGGCTACAACTCTTTTTGTTTAAAGAGTCTCTGCAAACTGTAAAGTGTCGTGACCACATGGCAATCCTCTGCTCTGCACATGGGAAACGGGATGAGGGATAACACATTTGGAGAATGGCCTGCTGGCCTGGGGCCCTCACCTGGCTGTTGGAGGGCAGGCCTCGTCTCTGGAAAGCCTGCACGGTGTGGCTGGTGTTCACTGTCACCTCCAGTGTGCCGTTTGGCAGCCGGGCCAGCAAGGCTGCCGCATCCACACTCACTTTGCTGTCCCTGCCACGGAGGACCACGTGGGCCCACGTCTTGGTCTCTAAAGGCAAAACAAAAAGAACTAAGAACTTGAACTCCCCTCCGTCCCTGGAGAGGAATGCAGCAGACTGTAATGGAGATGTGCTTCAAAAGTCCATGGACACTGGCAGAAAGGCTACCAGGTAGGCCTGGAGGGATCCACTGACCTTAGGCTAGCTGTCACCGTCTCAAGTCCCTGTGATATCATCTATCACAAGACATCCCCTAGACCCTCCTCTGAGAAGCCCCACCCCACTCCCGCCTGCCGCCCTTCAGTGCTGGGCATCACCACATCACAGGGCACAGCAGCCTGTGCCTCATGGGGACACCAGCCTAGGTAGGCGTTACCTGCACTCTGCAGTGCCTGCGAGCACAGTCGTTGGCCAGCAGGCACTCAGAAGTACCTGCTGAGTGAATGTGCCAAGACTGAATTGCTGGGGGATGGTCTGTATGTCAAATTGCTCTGACTCGTCAATAAATAAAACACTGATTGGCCAGTGGGTAGGCAGGAAGTATAGGCAGGACTAACAGGAGAAAAGAAACAACAGGAAGGCAGAAGGAGTCACTGCCAGCCACTGCCAGGACAAGCCACATGGCAAGGTATAGATTTATAGAAATGGATTAATTTAAGCTATAAGAACAGTTAGCAAGAAGCCTGCCATGGCCATACAGTTTGTAAGCAATATAAGTCTCTGTGTTTACTTGGTTGGGTCTGAGCAGCTGTGGGACAGGCGGGTGACAAAGATTTGTCCTGACTGTGGGCAAGGCAGGAAAACTCTAGCTACACTGAATGATTTATCCCGACAGTTCATGGGCCGGATAGCAGCAGCTCTCCTTGAGTGACAGGCTCAGAGGTCACCAAGGACCTGGCCTGGGCTGTAGCATCCCATCCCTCCTGCCATGTGGATGGCACTGGCAGCTTCTGCCCTCCAGAGGGACCACTTCCCCATGGATGTCACACACAGTATGGGTGTCACGCACAGTATGGGTGTCACGCACAGTCCCTCCAGAGCAGGCAGGTCCAAGAGCTCTCACCCCCCATGTCCTCTGCTGTGTATGGAAAATGACTGACAGATCAAGGAGCCTAGGAGTAGGTGGTTCCCACTGTGTGGCAGAAGTTGGGGTCATGCTAGGTGATACTCATAGCTTAGGTCTGAGCCCAGGGGGACGGCCAGTGCCTCGAGGCCCAAGCCTTGATTTCCTCATCTGTAAAATGGTTGCAGCCCACCTGTTAGAATTCCTAGCCACTCCCCCATGGCTGCATGTTTGCTGGCAAGATGCTTAGTCATTCCAGGGCCTTACATCCTACCTAGTCCGTGCACTGTGTGATCAGGTCACTTGTGCGCAGCATGATCACATAATCTATGCACATGCATGGTGTAGCTACATAAGCCCGTATGCGCATGTGTGTGGGGGGAAATCTATAAAAGTGGGTTCCACATATCCCTCCTTCTCTTCCTGCATGATCTTTCCATAGGCCTAAGCACCCCCTTCTATTTCCTCCCCTTAATAAACTCTTATAGTGGGCTTTGTTGTACCTTGTGGCTTTTCTCGAACGGTAAACAGCGCCACTTAATAACACCACCCACCTCAAGACAGCACCCAGGTGACGTCACACCCAGAGGATCCAGAGGTGGGAGTGCATGGGGGTCAGAAAATATTCATTTTCTTCTTGCATTATCCCACATTCAAACACACACATCTGCTATGTGTAGGAGAAGGGAGGGAAGGGACAGGGATCTCATGCTTGGGGATTCCTGACTATCAGAGACACCATGAAAGCCAACACTAAACAGGAAGTGTCATTGTTGGCTGGGACAGATAGACAGAGACAGCAATGGAGGAGGAGAGGGGACTCTCTAGGGCTAGGAACTAGTCTAGTCCCAGCAAGCCCAATGCCGGCTCATGAGTGAGCTCAGGCCCCAGCATGAGCAAAGCCTCCATTTACCCCCAGGAGGCTGAATAACAAAGATGGAAACATTTGAGGTCAGAGGAAAATGATCCAGAGGACAGGGAAGCCACCCAGGGTCCAGAGTGGTCTAGAGCCAGAACCCTGCATCTGTCTGGAGGACAGAGGGAGGCAGAATGTGAAGCCAGACTCGGGAATCAGACTGACTGAGTTCAAGGCCTGGCTTCATTATAAGCCAGCTGTGTGGCCTGAAGCAGGGGACTCCGCCTCTCTGAGCTGCAGAAGGAATGGAAGGAAGAGAGGGAAGAGTATGAAGCGCAGAGGGACGGGGCTCTGAGGCTCTGATGATCAAGACTGGCTGTCAGTTCACAGGTTTTAGCATCACCAAAGAGCTCAGTCTCTGCACATGCCTCTGAGAAACTTTCTAGAACTGGTAACTGAGGTGGGAATGTGGGCAGCACCATCCCGTGGGCTGGAGTCCCGCCAAATAAAAAGGAGACATTGAGCTGAACATCAAGGTTCATCTCACTCTGCTTCGGCACTGTGGGTGTGATGTGAGCAGCTGCCTCCAGCTCCCGCTGCCTCCGGCTCCCGCTGCCTCAGCTTCCCCATCACAGTGAACTGTAAGCTGGAAGTCAGCCTTCCTCCTTCAAGTTGCTGTTAGTCACTCTCACAGTGGCCCTTCCGGAGCTGACGTGCAGTGAATGAGAGAGCTGTGCAGTCACAGTACTCCGGTGGCCCAAAGCTCGCCTGGCAGGTATGCAGTGAGTGCTCCATCCCTGGCGGCTCTTCCCTCCTCCTCCCCTTAATGACGGGCTGAACTATGCACTCTAAACTCTTACCTCTTATACCCGTGAGTGTGGCCATCTTAGAAAATGGGCTTTACAGGTGTGGCTAAATAAAAACAAGGTGACAATGGAGGTGTTGGGATCCGAACCCAATGCTGGTGACCTTGTAGGAGAACAGACAGACAGAAGGGAGGTGGTCCCATGTGGAGAGAGGATGGGCTGGAATGATCTGTTAGCTAGGGGACATCCTGCCAGCAGCAGAAGTCCCTTGGGACCACCAGAGGGAGACCAGGCCACCTGTACTGTAATTTCAGATGCCTGGCCAGAATTCAGAGTAAACCTCTTGCTGTTTCTAGCCCCCTACTTTGGGAAATCGTGTATCTCTAAGGGGCAGCCCTTGGAGGACCAGGCTATCATGGCCATTCCCAGAGCCCAGAGCCAGCTAAGCCTGCCTGGGTCAAGGCTGGGACTAGATCTGGGCCCAGGGGATGTTGCACTCTGGACCTAGGCTCACCCTGCATCTGTAGTTCAGCTTGCAGGTCCAGCTCCTCTGGGACCCCAGCCTGCAGCAGGGCCTCACTGTCATGTCGGCTGTGGCCCCAGAGCTCCAGACGGCTGTCGTGGGCCCAGTAGTTGACAGAGCAGTTGATGGATATAGGGCCTGTTGAGATATGTGTGGAGTGCTCAAAGCTGGCGGCACCATCACAAACGTCCATGGAGACCTGTGGGGACATGGTAAGGATGGACCATCCCAAGCTGGCCGCACCCCAGCGCTCCAGGGTTTCAGGACCAAGGCATGGAAAGAGCAGCCCTGAAGTCATACAGCTTCCCTTGAGTGACATGGGGTACGGAGAGTGGCCTAGGGACAACAGAGCAAGCCTGGGAAGGCAGAGATGTCCTAATGGTGGGAAACAGCTGGACAGTGCTCAGCTCGAGCACTTGTTCTTTTGTTTGTTTGGTTTTTCGAGACAGGGTTTCTCTGTGTAGCTTTGCACCTTTCCTGGAACTCGCTCTGTAGACCAGGCTGGCCTCGAACTCACAGAGATCTGCCTGCCTCTGCCTCCCGAGTGCTGGGATTAAAGGCATGTGCCACCACTGCCCAGCATTGCACTTGTTCTTATTAATAAAGTTTTATTAGAATATGGCTCTGCTCCTTCATCAGCTACTGCCAATGGTTGCTATCCTCTATCATCATCATCTTCTCCTCCTCCTTCTTTATTTTTTTTTTTTATTTTTTGAGGCAAGGTCTCTTTATGTAGCCCTGGAACTCACTCTGTAGACCAGGCTGGCCTCGAACTCACAGATATCCACCTGCCTCTGCCTCCAAGTGCTGGGATCAAAGGCACAGCCACCATGCCTAGCCTGCTGGCCTTTGCACATGGCTCCCCTTGCTCCCCCTTCAGCTGTCTCAGGCCTCAGGTCAAATCTCCACCCTAATTACTGAGAAAGATGAGGACTAGAGTTAAGGTGGGCATCCCTGCCCATAACCATCTGCAGTGTTGGCTGTGGACCTGGATTGTTGGTGTCACCCAGGCACACAGTTTCAGGCTGCCCCAAACCTGCCAGACCAGATTCACATTTAAAGTACTGTTATTTCATGTATGTGGATGTTTTGTTTGCATGTATACCTGAGCACCACACACATGCAGTGCCTGCGGTTAGAAGGTGCTGAATCCCTGGGGTTACAGATGGCTCTGAAACACCACATGAGTGCTTGGAGTTAACCCTGAGTCCTCCACAAGAGCAAGTATTCTTTACCACTGAACCAATTTCCATGCCTCAGATCCACACTTCTAAAACCCAATCTCAGAAGATGGTTAGCCTGTGGGCACATGGCAAGCTTGAAGAGTAGTACTCATATGAGAGTGCCACAGGAAGCCCTCTCCACTGGGGGGGGGGGCACAGGAAGCCTCTCTCCACTGGGGACCACAGGAAGCTCTCTCCACTGAGGTCTGCAGGAAGCTCCCTCCACTGGGGACCACAGGAAGCCCTCTCCACTGGGGGGGGGCACAGGAAGCCTCTCTCCACTGGGGACCACAGGAAGCTCTCTCCACTGGGGGCCACAGGAAGCTCTCTCCACTGGGGGCCACAGGAAGCCCTCTCCACTGGGGGCCACAGGAAGCTCTCTCCACTGGGGGCCACAGGAAGCTCTCTCCACTGGGGGCCACAGGAAGCTCTCTCCACTGGGGACCACAGGAAGCCCCTCTCCACCAGGGGTCACAGGAAGCCCCTCTCCACTGGGGGTGGGTGGGAGGGGAGGCACAGGAAGCCCCTCTCCACTGGGGGCCACAGGAAGCTCTCTCCACTGGGGGCCACAGGAAGCCCTCTCCACTGGGGGCCACAGGAAGCCATCTCCACTGGGGGGGGGAGACACAGGAAGCCCTCTCCACTGGGGGGGGGGAGACACAGGAAGCCTCTCCACTGGGGGTCACAGGAAGCCCCCCTCCACCAGGTTCTACCATGCACCCGACCCCACAGTGCTGCCCCCAGCTTCTGAGGCCCCAGGTGTGATCAGCTCTGCTGGACTGCCGCACCCTGGGCTGCTTGCCAGGCTCTGCATGCTCCTTCGGTGGACCTTGTCGTCAGGTGGAATGGCATGTGCAGGGACCGGCACCTCTGTTTCCCACCCCTCAGATGTCCCCCAGAGCCACATCTACTGGGGTAAGCCGCTACAGCCACTGAAGCCTGGGTAGGCCTGTAACCAGTTTCCCTAGAGAGCCTTACAACGTTGGCAGGTGGTCCCAACGGTGGGTCCTGTGTGCAGTTCACCCTCAGCCTGGGTGCTGGAGCTGGGACCTGGGACAGGGCACAGACACTGCCCTACATTCAGCACACTGATCTGTAGGAAATAATTCCTCATCTACACCCAGTCAGGGGTAGCTCAGAATTAGCAGAGGCCTGGAGTCTGCCTGACCCATGATGCTTAGAGTACCCACTACCCTGGCTGCCATGGCAGAGGCTGGCGAGAAACCCTTAGGCTCTGGGCTGATGTCTGATTGCAGAAGGGATAGTTCATGGACCACCAGGAAGAACCAAGGCCTTGTGGAGCTGGAGAACAGTGCACATCACAGAGGGTAAAGGGGATTGGGGACAAGGACCACAAAGGTTCGGCCAGGGCTTCAGTCCTAGCCTATACTGCCAGCAGTCCCCAGGGGTAAGGCCGTGTTAACCCCGGGGGGGGGGGGGGCAGGCCTCTATGACTCACTACCCTACCAGGTCAGTGTTCCCCTGGCGCGGACCCAACAGCTGAGCAGGTGAGGTATCTCCACTGCAGCAGACCTGTGGAGACAGCAGGTGGGAAGTGGATATGTCTGTGCGTTCTGACACTAGGCACTGTTCTAGAAGGTTCCTCATCTGAGCCTCTACAGGAGGCAGTGACTGTCAGCAGCTCACCTTTCAGATGAGGAAACAGACATAGAAGTCCACATGTTCTCCATGATGGTTTGACAAGCCCGTGACAGGAACAAAGGTGACTGTGTGTGTGTGTGTGTGTGTGTGTGTGTGTGTGTGTGGTATATGTGTGTATATGTGTGTGTGTGTGGTGTGTGAGTGTGTGTGTATATGTGAGTGTATGTGTGTGTGTGTGTGTGTGTGTGTGTGTGTATGTGTGTGTGAGAGTGTGTATGTGTGTCTAGGGATTGAGTCCAGGACTAGCTAGCAAGCTAGGCAAGCACTCTATCTCTGGGGTCACAACTGTAATGCTCTTTTCAATTTTCTTCTTGAGCTAGGTGGTGGTGGCTCATGCCTTTATAATCCCAGCACTCAGAGGCAGGGGTGGGGGGTGGGGGCGTGCCAGGCAGAGGCAGGTGGATCTCTGTGAGTTCACAGCCAGCCTGGTCTACAGAGTGAGTTCCAGGGCAGCAGAGGCTACCCAGAGCAATCCTGCCTCAAAAAAATTTTTTTTCTTCTTGAAAAAGGGTGTCACAAAATTGCCCAAGCTGGCTTTGAATTTATAGTCCTCCTGCCTCAGCCTCCCAAGTATAGGATGATAAGCCTGCCTCTCCAAGCCTGGCTCCACCCTTTACAACCATATCAGTGACAGTGACCATATGAGCGACAGTGCATTGCTGTGGCAGCTCCCTTGTGATGGCTGCTAGCAATTCTCAACCTCACGGGATGTAGAATCAGGGGAGAGCTAAGCCTCTGGGCATGTTGCTGAGGGATTTTCCAGATTAGGCTGAGGTGGGAGGACCCGCCTGAATGTGGGCAGCGGCATTCCCTAGGCTACACTCCCAGACTGAATAACATGGAGGGAGGGAGCTGAGCACCACCACCCATCTCTCCTGCTTCCTGACTGAAGACACATGAGCCCCTGCCTCACACCCCTCCCTTCCTCTCCTCCCACCACGGACTGTGCCCCCAAACCGTGAGCCAAGACCAACCCTTTGCCAGGTATTGCACCCCAGAAACAAGAAAAGCAACTGTTTCACTTGTCTAGCCTACGAGGTCCCTCGATTTCTGCCACACTGGGTGAACCAAACCCAGCCCCCCCTTACCCACCTGGATGTGCCCATGGCCATATATGGAGAAGGGGAGGGCCCAGGGCCTGTGGCTGGGCATGGTGGGGCCTGAGGAGTTAAGGTGGCCACGGAGGTGACAGTTTGCACTCCACCATTCTATCTGTGCTGGGTGGTTGGAAGAATCCTGGGCATCAGTTACTTGCACCCCAGCCTTGGAGGCTGTTCCTACAGGTGAGACACCAGAACAGGTGGCAGTGGGTAGAAGCAAAGAGAGATCAAAAGGGCCCAATCCAGAATGGGTCAGAATGGAGCTAGAATTCTGCAGGACTCCTGAGCCCCAAAACAGACTCGTAGAGTCCCACTGTCCCCAGAGACTCCAGGAGTGTCACATACAACTTTCCTGTCCCCAGCAGTGGTAAGTTCATCTGATCCACTGCAAGTCCCATTCATATTTAGGGTCAGACCTCTATCCCTGGGGGCTCCCCGTTACCAAGAAAAAGGCCCAAGTCTTAGAACAAGGGACCAGGGTGACAGTGTGTCTACCCATTGCTGAGACATCTTGGGCCTCTCCAGGTGTCTAAAGAACAGCCCCTAGGAACTAGGGCAGGAGGGCAGAGCTGTCCAACAAGCATGAGTCACAGAAAGGCCTGGAGCCACAGCTTTGGGCTCCAGCGGTCTCTTTTGCCCCTGCCCTTGGCTCTAGGGTTTCAGAGTCCTGGAGAAAGCACACAGCTGAGAACTCTCCTACCTGCGACCCTCAACCGGCTGAAGCTGTCAGTCAGGATGCCTGAAAGCTGACAATGCCCAGGATCCCAGGTGCAGGTCCCATCCAGGGCCAGGCTGATCAAGTCACCACGGGCACTGGCCTGGTCCCTGAGGGCTCCGGAGGAGGTCTGCCACCGCCCTCTCAGCTGGAGCTCTGCTGGCAAGGCCTGGCTGCAGTTCTGGATGAGGGTGCAGGTCATGCTGTGCAAACTACTGTTCCCTGTCTCCTCATGCTTATCCCGCAGGAGGAGGCTCAGCATGGCTGAGTCGGTGGCCACCTTAACAGAACCTGTGGGGAGGAGAGGAAGGAACAGAATATTGGGTGGGAAGTTGTTAGAGCTGTGGTACCATGAGGCCAACACTTGTGGAAGGGACTGTGCTCCACAGCCCCATCAGGATGCTCTAGGCCCACATGACTAAAGGCAGCTAGCCCGGGGAAGGGATATCTGCTAACTCCTGCGCTCCATTCCACCACAGGCCCACTGCGACAGCCCAATGTACAGTCAGCAACATGGCACCGAGGAAGCTCTGAGAGACCCAGCCTGGAGTTACAGGCCAGGGAAGTGGCTCTGATGGCCTCCTGTGCAGGGAAGATGTGCACCTGGAGGCATGCCAGGGCTGTCGGGACAACTTCATCCATGTTTCCAGCTCAGCTCTACTGCAGGCTCCACACATCTCCCGAAACAACTTTCTCACAGACTCCTGCAACGCCTGATCACAAACTTACGTGCCCCGAGGGAATCCATGCTGCCACACTGTGACAGTTCATCTTGACTGTCTACCTGACAGGCTCTAGAACAGCCTAGAAGACCCACCTCTGCGCATGGCTGTGAGGGGTCCTCTAGGCTGGGTAAACTGACTGAGAAGACCCACCCTAAATGAGGCATCACTGCCGTGGGCTGACCAAGTGAAAAGGAGGTTTCTGACTTTGGATGCAATGAGACCAGCTGCCCCAAGTGTAGTGGGTAGCCGTTCCAGCTTTGACCTGGAAATACCACCCCCTTTGAGGCTTCGGTAACTGTCACGCCTACAAGGTGGAGCTGAGAGAGGACCCTGAAGACCGAGATCCGGATGGGGGAGCTCTCTTGGTTCCTGGACCCTGGACACTGGAGGTAGACCGAGTAGAATTCTCCAGAGAACACTGCTGGACTGCGCTGCACCTTTCCCAGACCCTGTAACCTATCTCTTCACTTGTAAGTTACCCTACAAAATAAACCTCCCTTTTAACTACGTGGAGTTGTCTTGATATTTTAACCAATATCCAAGCTTGCTGCCACACCTTGTCCGCCATGACGCTGTAACCTCAAACTGTGGGTCAATACACCCTTCCTTCCTTCAATTGTTTTTGCAGCAATGAGATCGGTAACTAAGACATATGTACCACAAAGTGTGACCCTTCATCTCCATCCTCCAAATGTGGAGAGCAAGGGTCAGGCGCCACGAGAATCTTGAAAATAAAACGCCAGCCAATAAGGTTGCAGCCTGGGAACAACCCATGTGCGGTAACTGAGATGTTTGACAAAGGATCAAAGGTAGAGACCAGAAAGACTTTTCTACAAACAGTGCGGGAGTAATTAGATATTTAAATAAAATTGTTTTTGCTGTTACTAAGTTAAATAAAGACAGGCTGGGGATGTGGTTCATTTGGTAGAGTGCTTGCCTTGCGTCCACGAAGCCATGGCTTTCCTCCCTGGTATGGTGGCACATACCTTTCATTCCCTGCCCTTACCAAAGCACCGGACCGGTGGGGCTGATAGAAGGGCAGGGAGTTTGGGTCTTGAAACCTGGGCCCCAGCGCCCTGCAGGAAGATGCTGTGGTCATATATACTTTGACTGCAGGAAGGGCGCTGTGTTTGAATGTACCTGGGTTGGGTCTTAATGTGCAACCCTGACCTCTGGATCCTGTTAATGCTGCACACCATCAAAAACACCAAGACAAACAAGGAAGGCTGAGACCTACAGGCAGAGTGCAGACAGCCTGGAGCCAAATCTCAAATAAAGTTAGAATCTTGCAAGGATGAGGGAGGGGGAGTAACCCCAGCTGACTGGTCAGCCTTTGTTCGAGTGTGTGCCTGCCGCCACAGGTAGAAGAGAACAGATCCTGACTTCCGGTCACTAAGCTTAACTTCCTCAGAGATGTATGGAGAATTCTGAAACCATGGATTCTAGGGCTGAACACAAATGCCCATCTATGTCAGGTCATTGACATCTGAGAAGGAAATAGAGAGGGGAAGGAGGGGGCTGGACAGACGGATCAGTGGTTAAGAGCACTGGCCACTCTTCCAGAGGACCCCAGTTTCTGGCCTCTGTAGACACCATATGCAGGTGGTGCTGACATGCAGGGAAAACACCCATACAAAATAAAAACAAATCTCTACATCCTTTAAAAAATGTCTTCAAAAAAGAAAAGGGAAGCTTTTATTGGTTTAGTTTGTTTCTGAGACAGGGCGTCACTATGTAGTCCAGGCTAGCCTCAAGATCACCTCAGGCTCCTGAGTATTGGACCTAGACAGAAGAAGCGTGCTGGTGGTGGGATGGTGCTTTGGCTTGAGTGTAGAATGCAGGTGTCCCCCTTCCCAAGGCTCATGGGCCAGAAGCTTGGTCCCCGGTGTGACACGGGTGAACATTTAAAGCGGGTGGTGTACGGGTGGTGGAGACAGCTGGGCAGGTAAAACACTGCTCACACATTCACGTGAGAATAAAAAAGCAGAAGAAAATGTCTCTCACTAGCAGAGGGAAGGTCAGATTCTTGGTGCTGTTCCCAAAATTTCCCTAAGTCTACAATGATGTCAGAACAGCCAGTCATATGGCCTAACAGTCACACATCTGACTTCAGAAGATCGAAACTGGGTCAAAATAAAAAGCACTGCTGGGCAGTGGTGGCACACGCCTTTAATCCCAGAACTCTGTGAGTTCGAGGCCAGCCTGGTTTACAGAGCAAGTTCTAGGACAGCAAAAGCTACCAAAGAAACCCTGTCTCGAAAAACCAAATAATTAATAAAGTAAAAAGCACCGTGGATGGCTGGAGATAGGGTCCCATGGGTGAGTGCTTACTGAGCATGCCCAGAGCCCTGAGTGCAAGCCCAGCACCATGGAAACCAGACATGGTGGTGCACTCCTGTAATCCTAGAATTTAGGAGTTTAAGTCCATCTTTGGCTACATAGAGCGTTGGAGGCCAGCCTGGTTTACACAAGACCCTGTCTCAGAAAACAAACAAACAAACATGACAGAGCCTCAATCTGAAAACCCAAAATGTTCTAAAATCCAAAACTTCCATCCCAAGCATTTCAGGTAAGGAGGTTCTTTCAAAATAAAATTGGGAGTGGGGCGCAAACCACAGTGCAGATGTGGGGATCAGAGGACAATTTGCACCATGTGGGTCCTGGGGATCAAACTCGGTTCTGTTGGGCTTGGCAGCAAACACATCTTGACCAGCTGGGCCATGTCTCTGGCCCAGGTAAGTGGTTCTCGTCTGTTCTAGACAGTACACCTGAGAGGCTCTGTGCCCAGGTACCCCTTCTAGAGGAAGACAATGTTCATTTGAATATTAGAGGCTCTGACAAGTTCTGCATAAGGAAGCCTTTGCAGTTTTGTTAGTAGAAGATTCTCTTTGCCAAGTTCTCCTGGTGGTGAAGTCAATCTACCCAGGAGTTCACAAGAAGCAGTCCCCCAAGATGCCTAAGGCATCTGTGGTGGCTGCTCTTGGTTGTCAATTGACTACATCTGGAATGAACTAAAACCCCAGTGGCTGGATATACGTGTGAGGGAGTTTTCTTAATTAGACATTTGCAGTGGGAAGACCCACCTTTAATCTGGATATTCTGAGGTGGAACGATCCACCTTTAATTCAGATCTTTTGAGGTGGGAAGATCCACCTTTGATCTGGGCCATACCTTCTGCTGGCAGCCGATATAAGGACATGGAAGAGGGAAGCTTGCTCTCTGCCTGCTCGTTCTCACTCTAGGCGGCAAGTCCCCTCCTTTACTGGCATTAGTGCATGCTTCTTCAAGATAGCCTCGTGGACTGAACAACTACTGGATTCTTGGCCCTTCTGCTGGTAGACAGCCATTATTGGGCTAACTGGACCACAGCCGGCAAGCCACCCTAATAAATCCCATATATATTCACTCTATCAGCTCTGTCCCTCTAGAGAACCCTGATGATACAGCGTCGCTCAGCTCTCACCTTCTCTGAATGTCATCTTCTGCTTTAGCACACCCCTGAGGCTCAGGACAGAGGGCACTTTTGTCCAGCCAGCCACTGAGTGCTGGGCAAGGCTCCGCAGGCTGAGGACCCAGCCTTCTCGTCTCCCCTCAGATATCCTTAGGAGCAGCTGTACGGAGTCCTGGTCCAGCAGCACCTTGGAAAACAGCTGTGCCCTAGGAGGAATGTGATGGGGACTGTTACGGTCTTCTGCAGGTCCCCAGCAGGAGGCGCTGTTCCGGGAGAGCTGTGGCACCTTTGGGAGATGGAATCTTGGTAGGGAACTGGATCATTGAGGGGTGGGCCTTGAAGTTTATAGCCTTACCCCACTTCCTGTCCTCCCTGCTGCCTCATCCACCAAGATGTTAGCAAGCAGCTTCCTACTCCTGCCCCGGCTCTGGGCTGCTCCCTCTGTGGTGGGCCAGAGTAACTGGCCCTCAAACTGTGAGCCAGAGTAACTGCCTCCCAAGCTGCTTCTTGCAGCCATTTTCTTCCAGACCAGGAAAGCAACAAACACAGAGATGGTAAACACTTGAGAACCATTGCAGGGAGCTCTACCAGGGCTCCGTGCAAAGGGAGGCAGGGAAGTTGGGCACCCAGACACAGGCTTTGGAGTCAGGCAAGCCTGGGTTCAAACACCAGTGGTGCCATTCTCTAGCCGTGTGCCCTCGACACAGAGACTTCTGTCTGTCCACTAGGGAGTCAGGTGGAAATACTAACCCAGGCAGGGACTAGCCCTTGTGGGACCCTGCTTCACACGGAAGGCCATCTCCCTATGCTCCTCCTTTTCAAGGGTCTTACCATTTTCCCCACTAAGAGACAAAGAAGGCAGGCCTTGGGATGTGGGTTTTGATTGATAAACTGACTGGAGGACAGGCTGCCGCTTGATGGTCCCCTGCCCTCCCCGGCCCCCAGCCTGGCACACGTCTGGCTGAGTGACAGGTTAGACGGGAGCTGATTGTGTGAAGGCTACAGGTAAACAATCCAGTGGTTCTGTCCTTTGCCCCACTGCCCAGTGCCGTGACAGATCAGTCTTGATGACCACTGCCCCATGCACGGTCACTACCAAGTGCCTTATGAGACTCCTCACAGGAGCCCTGGGAGGGCTAACCATGCCGCAATCCCCACCATCCCGATGAGGAGACAGACATGTGGCAGTAATTGGAGCTCGGATGCTCACGTTTGTGTTTACGCTCATGTTTAAGGTCTGCTCTGTGAGGTGGTTTACAGCTGGATGAACTGGGGACTGCTGAGCTGGGTCGTGGCCCCCAACAGGTTTGGCACGCGCTGTCCTGCCAGCAGCACCTCAAGCACCGCCCACTTCTTCCTACTTTTCATTTGCCAGTTGCCAGTTGCCTCACGTGCTTTATTGGTTAACCCAGAGCAAGGCTGGTAATCAGTCTTCCCAGAACCACTTTTACAGCCAAGTTTTACTAGAGCGTGGTCCTGCTCAGTTTCTGAGCAGCTCACACTGCCCTGTTCTCAGCGCCTCACCATATGGCCTCAGAGCTTGAGAACTCACCGTCCAGCCCTCTACTGAGATCCTTCCAGACCAGACCTAGGCTCTGTCATGCTGACAGACGACAGAAGAGTACTCATGTTTAATAATCTGCCTCAAATCAGCGTGGCGACCACACCTTTAGTCCCAGCACTCGGGAGGCAGAGGCAGGCAGATCTCTGTGAGTTTGAGGCCAGCCTGGTCTACAGAGTGAGTTCCTGGACAGCCAGGGCTACACCGTGAGACCCTGTTTCAAATTAATAATAATAATAATAATAATAATCTGCCTCAAGCCTTGATAGATGGGGATAAGGATACAATCAGGCAGATGGCTGAGCAACTAGGGTATGGAAGTCCTGGGATCCAGAGGAAGGAATAGCAGTCCTGGGTCCGACCCAGCCCGCAGCCCCAGGTTCTCAACTACGTGGCATCCTGGGTGCTCCACTGAAAGGTCAGAGAGCAGAAAGGCGGGAACTGGGGAGTCCCTGCGACTGTGGTGACTTGTTTTCTTCTTCTGGGAAAGAAACCATTTGAGATAAGGTCCTCCTCTGTGGCTCTGCCTGGACTCAAACTCACAATCCTGCCTCGGTTTCAGAGTATATGAGTAGAGGAGTGTGTGAAAAACTAATGCTGCCTCCTGCCCTCAGAGCCTTCCTGCCAAGAACGTTACATCAGAGCTGATCCAGGCAGTCTCAAGGATCAGGGGCCTGCGGGGATGGCTTCTCCCAAGCAGGACACTAGCCTCGGTCCCTGGAGGTCCTAAGGCTTTGGGGCACCCAGGGGCCGCTACCTTGCTGGGGTGACCATGAAGGCCAGCTGTAGCTGAAGGGTTCTGGGGGTGCTGAAGACAGCCTGGTGGAGAGAGACCCTCAAGTCCCAGCCCCAGCGGCTCCTGATGTGTTGCTTGCTGGTGTCCACCTCTAACAGAAGCAGCTCACGGCCGGACACATGCACAGACAGGGACATGTCCACTCTGCGTCCCTTGTGACGTACTGTGGCAGCCTGCACCTGTAGGAAGGCAGAGAGGGCAGGAAGCTGGAAGGGATGAAGGGTCGGCAGAGGCCTGGGTGAGCATGGCCTCCCTCCAAGAGACACTCAAGCCCGGGGCAACTCCAAGGGCTCCCTGATAACAAATAGGAGAAACCAGGCTAACGTCCCAACCCCAGCCCCTGAGTCTGGGTCCTAACTGATCCTTAGCTCCAGAGCTCACATCAATATTTGACGCAGCAGAGGACACCTAAGCTGGCACATGCCTGTCATCCCAGCACTTAAGACACTGAGGCAGGAGGATCATGAGTTTGAGGGCTACAAAGGGAGACCTTGCCTCAAAAAGAGAGACAAGTAGAGAGAAAGGAGGATGACTTAAACTCCCATGTGTAGCTGTGGCCAAGAGCTTCTAGAACATGCCATTGTCCCCTGACTGCCTCCTGCTCCTCAGGGGCCCAGTAGGCTGTACAGTCCCAGACCAGTCAGTGTGGCTCTACATGGGCAAAATTTGGTTCTTAAGCCAAATGGTACACGCCTATCATCCCAGCACCTGGGGCTTGAGATAGGAGTTATTATTTCAAGTCAGCCTGGGCTATCTACCAAGGCCCTTAGAAGTGGGGAAGATGCATAAGGTGGGTTTGGTGGTGCATGCCTGTAATCCCAGCACTCTGGAGGTAGACACAGGAGGATCCAGAATTCAAGGTTATCTTGCACTACGCTCAAAGCTTGCTAATCAAACTCTAAAAAGATATGCTTAAGAAACAGAAAGGGGCTCTTAGCGACCGGCCGATGGCGAAGATCTGCCCAGTGGAGGACAACAGACAGCGTGGACCTCTCCACCCTTCCCACAAGCCTCTGAATAAAGTGTGTTTGACTCTAAGGCTGGTGTCCGTGTGTCACTGTCCCCGACGCGCTGCCTTTGAGCCCCCGGCGTCCTTCCTCGTGGTGCCGGGGGTTAAGCTGCGGCGCCATAGCAATTGCTAGCGCATAACTGGGGCTGCCTGCCCATCATGGGCGGCCCTTTTAACTGCTAGGTACAGGCTGAAAAAAAAAGAAAAGAAGAAAAAAAGAAAAAAGAAAAAGAAAAGGAAAAAAAGAAAAAAGAAAAAAAGAAAAAGAAAAAAGAAAAAAATGAAAAAAAGAAAAAAGAAAAAGAAAAGAAAAAAGGAAAAAAAGAAAAAAGAAAAAAATGAAAAAAAAAGAAAAAAGAAAAAAAAGAAAAAAGAAAGAAAAAGAAGAAAAAAGAAAGAAAAAAGAGAAAAGAAAAAAAGAAACAGAAAGGGGTAATAAAGACCCTCCAGAGATAGATTGCACAATGCTTTATTAACTTTTTTGAATTATTTATTAATAATTATTTATTAAATTTTTTGAATGCTAATGAGAAAGGATGGACAGCTGCAGAGAGACATTGGATAATAGAAAAAACTACCAAAGTAAATCAGCCTATATACTTTAAAGATGTGTTGACCTCAGAATGGAAACCAAGATATGTGTTACATTGGGGAAGAGGTTTTGCTTTTTTTCCATAGAAGAAGAAAAGCTAAAGATACCATCAAAGGTGATAAAGATTAGATTCGAAGAGAGACCTCTTTATTAGAAGAGGTGATAGTTCATCAAACAGTGTGACCATTCAATCTAAACTAACTTATAAGACTAACAAATGCTTTTCATTTGATTAGATATAACTTGCCAAAAGAGAACCTCCCCAAAGTTAGGGTTGGGGCAGGGTTTTGTTTTTGTCTTTCCAGGAGAATGAAGACATTCAGCTAAGGAATCTGAAGACCACTGAACAAATGAGACATCTAAAGAAAAAGGACAAATCATCCAGAGAAAATGAAAAAGAGTAAATTGGCCTATTAGTATATCACATTTCCAACAAAATAAAATTTCATAAGTCTTTTCAAATGTTTGTCTCTACTGTTCTCTACAGACATATAAATAACATCTCAAAATTTATAAGATATATATATATATATATATATATATATATATATATATATTAAACTTTTTGTCATGATATTAATGGTCACATAGAGTACTAACTAATTCTAGAAAAGTGTTTCATCTAGTTCCCTATACTGGATGATTTCAGGTTTGAGTTTCTATCAGGCAACTAGGAATTAAGTTTTGGTACTCTGGATGTACATAACAAATTATGGTCCTTTAACCTCTTCGAAATCTGCCATATGATAATTAAAATGTTTAAGTCTGAAGTGAACTATGACCATTCCTAACAGCAACCTTTGCAGTCTCCAAAATGAGGATGGGGCTCCACAACAACGATTCACCTGGACTATGATAACACCACTAAGCTGACAAACACCACCCAAAGATCAACTTTGGACTACAAACTGCTCAGAACAGTTTCTAGGTGGTTAGCTGAGATGGTCCAGCCTCACAGACTACTCTATCCAGGACTTGAGATAAGCGCTGCATTTTCCCATTACACAGAGACTGGACAGCAAATGATACAGCTATCTCTCCCAGGACAATTATCCCAATTTTTCAGGGTCCCCTAAAGATGCCATCACCCTCAGGCAGCAGAAAGTAATTTTAAGAACACGATGCCCACATTCCCAAGAGGTGGTGTGGGTGGATTTTGGTCATTCATTGGGTTAAGGATAATTGTCATTGTTTAGGGGGGTTGGTTACAAGTTGTTATTGGTAGCAGTCAGGAAAAAAGCTGAACAAAGGAGATTAGATTCAGGGATCTTGTTCTGAAAAGAAAAAAGGGAGGATATAGAAATGATAGGATGAAAGAGTAGATTATTGAATCTACTTTTAAACAAAAAAACTACTACTCTTAAATATTTTACATTGGTATGGATTTTTGTATATTAATACAAATTTGAGGTTATTTTTATAATACCATGAATATGTTTCTACTCTTGTTTAAGATATTTTTGTATATTGATACAAATTTAAGATTATTTTTGTTAGAACATATTATACATACATTTCTATTCTTGTTCAAGGTATTGTACTTATACAACTCATTTAACAATGTAATGTAAATTTATAGTCCTTGAAAATTATTATTACAAACTATTTAGGATAATAATAAAATGCAGGTCAGTCACCTATTACAGTCAAACTTGTAATAGTCAGTCACCTATTACAATCAAACTTGTAGTCATGTTAGGTATGTTTTCAAGGTCAAATAAATATATTTTAGATAGACAGATGTCTTTAAACACTTCAGAGATCTACAGAATATGGCATTTAAGGTGTTTTAATAATATAAGGGGGGTTTTTTGTTGTTGTTTTTTATGACAGTGAGACATGTCTGCTCCTGGTAGCACCAATCTACTTCGGAGAAGATGATGAGCATTGAAGAAACTCCATGTGGAGTTTACTTTCTTTGTGGCAAAAGTTAGCTACTGGGCAAGAAACTGCTGACAGTATGCTGTCCAAAATGGACAAGCAGGACACAAAAGAAAGTGACTGCCGAACCTTGCAAAGACTAGATAGGACAGTCCTTCAAAAATCCTGCTTCACAGAAAAGTCTGTCAGATATTCTAGGCCTATAGGTCAAAGATGGATGCCCCAATATTGCAGAGGGACTTTGGGTGACTGTCCAGGCAGCCAGCTGTCTCTATCATTTCTTAGTTTTGGAAGTTGTTTGCTCTGCACTTCCTATTTACTTAGGTAATATTATATCCTTCTCAGGTCTCTGATGGAGTTGAAGACTAGATAGATATAGTTTTCCTTTTTAACAAATTCAGAAAAAGACACTCATAAAAGAGGTGTAAAGTATATAAGGTTGAGAGACAGAAAGAAATAGTTTGTGGTTGGCAATGCAAGTTAAAATAGTGAATTAGATACAACACTTTGGATTCACCAAGATAGGATAGATAATGGAGTATTTTCTCTGAATCTGTTAAATGCAAATGGACTAGACATTGTTAATGTAATTATTGCCTGTATATATTTGTATATAGTTATTATATTTATTGTATATAGTTTTAGTATGCTAGCTAAAACCTTAGCTTTTTATTTAGACAAAAAGGGGGAAATGTTGTGAGATATTGATTGTGTTCTGACAAATAAAGCTTGCTTGGAGTCAGAGGGTGGAGTTAGTCAGTAGCTGACCATAGATTGTGTAGGGCTATAGAGGAGACAGGAAGTGGTAAGGCAGCACTCAGAGAGGATCTCTGCCCTGTGGACTGAGGAACAGAAGAGGTATAAAGCAACCACTGCTTCTCCTGGTTCTCCAATCCCTTCAGGTTCTTACCCCAATATTTGACTCCCAATTTTTTTATTGATAAAGATTAATTAGATTAATGCTTCATGGTAGTTTGAAAGAAAATGGCCCCCATAGGGTGTGGCACTATTAGGAGGTATGGCTTTGTTGGAGTAGGTGTGGCCTTATTGGAGGAAATGTGTCACTGTGGGAGTGGCCTTTGCGGTCTCCTAGGTTCAAGCTATGCTCAGTGTGGTACAGAGTTCACTTCCTGTTGTCTGTGGATCCAGATGTAGAACTCTCAGCTCCTCCAGCACCATGTCTGCCTGCATGCCGCCATGTCCCACCACAATGATAATGGAATAAACCTTTGAAACTGGAAGCCAGCCCCAATTAAAGGGTTTCCTCTATAAGAGTTACCATGGTCATGATGTCTATTCACAGCAATAGAAACCCTAACTTAGACACCATGGCTTTGCCTAGACAACAACACAGGACAGGGTTAGGAGGAAAATTAGAGTTCTCTCCATGTCTAAGCCCAAGCCTTCATGCCCCAGAGTTAAAGACCGCTTGGCCTAGGCAATGACTGAAGGTCCCCTGCCATCTGGCCTTGATTCTGCTGGAGCTCAGAGGTCTCCATCCCCTCCTCCTACCCACTCTTCCTGTGAGCAATGAGGAGACACCTGGGAGGCAATTCAAGGTCATCTCACGAGCAATATCCATACCTGTAAGCTGGGTGGGAAGGCAAGGCCGTCTGGAGGATGGAGCTGCAAGAAAAATGCCAAGTGGGAGCTTGATTTGTTCAGCTGGACCAAGACCTATTGGGGTATAGGAAAGGGTATAGGGGTGAGATTCCATTGTCCTTAGTAAGGCACTGGAGAGCTGGTGTTGGGGTGCTCCTTTCATGTTGCCCCCGCCTCCTGTTGGACCCTGACCATGAATCCCACACTGTGCTCCTAGCTCCCTGACCATCACCTTGTTGAACCTCACACTGCTCTACCACCCCATTTTATAGCTGGCAAAACTGAGTCCACAGGCACTAAGTGACTTACCTAAGGTCACACAGCTAGTGAGCATAGGGCTAGGAACTGAACTTGAATGAGCTGGGCACCCACTGGCTTCAGAACTCCTTGGAGATGGAGACAAGTCTAAGCCACCTGTGGTGGTTAGAATAGGAATGGCCCCCACAGACTCTCATATTTGAATGTTTGGCCATAGTGAGTGGCACCATTAGGAGGTGTGGCCTTGTTGGAGGAAGTGTCGCTGTGGGGTTGGCTTTCGGGTCTCATGCTCAAGCTGTGCCCAGTGTGGTACAGAGTCTTCTCTTCTGCTGCCTGTGGATCCAGAACTCTCAGCTCCTTCTCCAGCACCGTGTCTGCCAGCATGCTGCCCTGCTTCCCGCTATGATGATAATGGACTGAACCTCTGAAGTTGTAAGCCCACCGCAATTAAATGTTTTCTTTATAATACTTTCTGTGGTCATGGTGTCTCTTGTCAGCAATAAAACCCTAAGACACCACCCATCACCCAGCGGAGGCTGGCATAAGGCAGACACATGGTGTGCACATGGGATGAATGAACGCAGAAATCCACCCACAGCAGCTTCTCTAGGGGACTGAATCATGGGTTTCCTCCTAGATGCACAGCTAAACTACATTTCCCAGCCTTCCCCACAGCCAGGTGGGTTTTCCTGAGTTCTGGCTGGAGTGATGGTCCTACTGAAAGGCCCGGCCCTCAGAGACACCACGAATTCTCCGCCCTCTCACTGGCACCTGCTTGGATCCTTGAGTAGGTACATGGGGTAAGGCCGCTCTGGGCTGCAGTGTGGGTGTGTGGGGCAGGCCCGCTCTGGGCTGCAGTGTGGGTGTGTGGGGCAGGGCCGCTCTGGG